AAAGTGTGGACAATTAATGTGGCAATATCAGGAGACAGTTAAAAAAAAAGGAGTCCCTACGGATTTTGCTTTGCTAGTCATTGCCGACTATAGGGGTGGTGTTCATCTCTGCTTCAAAGCCAGTGCTGTCCAAATACATTTCCGTGGTCAGGTGACCAGCATGATATCATAGAGTGCTGTTACCTTCCCATCAAAATGTTACCTTTTTTATTTATTCGCATTTACATGTTTTCAAACTGCTAGGCTGATAGGTGCTGGGATGAGGACAAGAGCTCACCCCATCACATGACACTCGGGTCTCAAACCTGGGCTGCCATCTTTCCAGCCAAAAAGCCCAGCATCTGAACCTCTGAGCCATCGTGCCGCCCCCATCAGGGGATGGAACAATATTTTTAATGTGTTTATTTTTATGAAATTTATATGCTCACCATCTCACTATCCAAACAACTCTGGAAGGAGTAGAAGACAAAAAATTGGAGAATATCATGAAGTATCAAGATCTGAAAATCTAAACTTTATGGCATAAATCGGCAGTGATGGTGCCAGTGGTTATCAGCACAACGGAAGCCAAACCAAAAAGTCTTGGATGACATTTGGAAAATCTGCATATTGACAACATTTCCATACAAAAGACCACACTGCTTGTGAGGGCCTGGGCCTGGTGTATGAATCTATTAACCTATACATAAATTACTAAGGGTTTTTTCAAATAAGTCACAAAACCGTTGCAGTTAAAACTATTCTATATTATTCATTCTATTCATGCCTTGATAAATGTTGTTAGGATTAGCTGTTAAGATTAGATAAACACAGCTGCTCACCAATGGAGACCACAAGCTCGAAGTGTTGGTTAAGATAACGAGATACAATCTTGCAAACCTAGAACTGAAGGATTGTGGTCTTGCTATTTTGCTTAGAAACATTGCAAGCAGGCCTGTTACTAGGATACAGCAAAGTAATAAGACATTTAGCTTAAACTGCAGTTAATGACATCCGGGCATTCACCGATACATTACAATATTCTAGGTTTTGGGAAGAACTTGATGAAAAAGAAGGCCAGCACCAGCTGCCAAAAATTGATTTCACCCTTTGGTGTATAATAAAAATAATAATGCCTATCCCAGGTCCTGTTGGACAAAAGTGCCAAATCCGGTCTGAACTTCTAGTTAATTGTGCGACAAACAGTAATATTTTTTAAAAAAAATCAAATGAACAATTAACATATTATTGAAAAGAATCTATATAATATATTGGCCTCAAGGAAGAATATGAATTTTATAAGACAAGATTAACAAAACAATCATTCACTGATATCCATTCAGCATTGTTACTTTTAAAGAAGCACACAGGCAAGCTGTAATTATGGATAAGCAGTTGCTCCTATATATCTGAAGCATTTAAAGCACTGGTCAACTAAAAGAATAAAACACATTCAATCCTAAAGCTTTGGCAGATTTGACCATCACAATGAAAGAGTCCAAATAACCTTTGTATCCCCTTCCTGAATGCTGACAGACCTGGCTGTTGAAAATTACTAAAAATAAACAGCTTGCCTAGCACACAATAATGCCATTAAACAGACAATGCCAACTCCTTTCCATATTCTGCTTTTCTCCTAAGAATAGTAGGGCAAGTCACAGAAGAACCCATTAAATCAGAAAACAAGAGCCAAGAACTTGTTTGCTCTCATAATGAGGTTTGGGATTTCAGTCAAAAAGGGAATTAAGGTACAGAACTTAACCTCCAGGGAAACAAGTAGATAAGTAAAGGCATTCATTATAATGCATAGCATGATCTCCATTGTATGTCTTTATAGATTATTATTTTCTCTTCAATAAAGTGACATAAAAATAGCCAAAGAATAGGCAAGATTAAATCTGAGATTCAAGATGAATAAAAGAAATACTACGCATAGTTATAATAATAATAATAGTAGTAAAGTTGGAAGGGACCTTGGAGGTCATCTAGTCCAACCCCCTGCTCGGGCAGGAAACCCTACACCATTTCGGACAAGTGGCTGTCCAGTCTCTTCTTAAAAACTTCCAGTGTTGGAGCATTTACTGCTTCTGGAGGCAAGCTGTTCCACTGATTAATTGTTCTCACTGTCAGGAAGTTTCTCCTTAGTTCTAGGTTGCTTCTCTCCTTGATTAGTTTCCACCCGTTGCTTCTTGTCCTGCCTTCAGGTGCTTTGGAAAATAGCTTGAATTCCCTCTTCTTTATGGCAGCCCCTGAGATATTGGAATACTGCTATCATGTCCCCCCTTGTCCTTCTCTTCGTTAAACTAGACATACCCAATTCTAGCAACCGTTCCTTATATGTTTTAGCCTCCAGTCCCCTAATCATCTTTGTTGCTCTTCTCTGTACTCTTTCTAGAGTCTCAACATCTTTTTTACATCGTGGTGACCAAAACTGGATGCAGTATTCCAAGTGTGGCCTTACCAAGGCATTGAAGAGTGGTATTAATACTTCACGTGATCTTGATTCTATCCCTCTGTTAATGCAGCCTAGCACTGTGTTGGCCTTTTTGGCAGCTGCAGCACACTGCTGGCTCATATTTAGGTGATTGTCTACTAGGACTCCGAGGTCCCTCTCACAGTTACTACTATTGAGCATGGTGCCACCTATGCTGTACTTGTGCATTTGGTTTTTCTTGCCTAAATGTAGAACCTTGCTTTTTTCACCATTGAATTTCATTTTGTTAGTTAGTGCCCAGTGTTCAAGTCTGTCCAGATCCTTCTGTATCTGAAGCCTGTCTTCTGGAGTGTTGGCTATTCCTGCCAGCTTGGTGTCGTCTGCAAATTTGATGAGTTCCCCATCTATCCCTTCATCCAAATCGTTGATGAAGATGTTGAAGAGTACTGGGCCCAGAACAGAGCCCTGGGGCACCCCACTACACACTTCCCTCCATATAGATGCAGTTCCATTGAGGACCACTCGCTGAGTATGGCCGGTCAGCTAGCTACGGATCCATCTGGTGGTGGTTCTGTCTACCCCACATTTTTCTATCTTGTCAAGTAGTAGGTTGTGATCTACTTTATCAAATGCCTTACTGAAGTCCAAGTAAATTATGTCCACAGCATTCCTCTGATCCACTAATTTTGTCACTTGGTCAAAGAATGCAATAAGATTTGTCTGGCATGATCTATTTTTGACAAACCCATGTTGGCTTTTAGTAATGACTTTGTTTGCCTCTAGGTGTTCGTTGATTCGTTGTTTGATTATCTTTTCCAGGATCTTCCCAGGTATTGAGGTCAGGCTGATATGTCTGTAATTTCCTGGATCCATTTTTTTTTCCTTTTTTGAGGATGGGAACTACATCAGCTCTTTTCCAGTCCTCTGGTAGTTCCCCTGTGTTCCAGGATCTTTGAAAAATATAGTTCAGTGGCTCCGATATCACATCTGCCAGTTCCTTGAGAACTCTGGGGTGTAATCCATCTGGTCCTGGCGATTTGAACTCATCTAGGCTGGACAGGTGCTCCCTAACCATTTTCTTGCCTATCTTAACTTGTGTTTCTGTTTTGTTTTTTATGGCACTATTTTTGATAGATTGGTCTGTTTTTTCCCTTTGTGTAAAGACAGATGCAAAAAAATGAGTTAAATAGTTCTGCTTTCTCCCTGTTGCTTGTCACCTTCTTGCCACTTCCACCCACTAATGGACCAATCATTTCCTTCACTTTTTTCTTGTTTTTTACATGTTGAAAGAAGCTTTTTTTGTTATTTTTGACTTTGGTCGCAAGCCTTAGTTCATTTTGAGCCTTGGCTTTCTTCACTTCATCTTTGCAGGCTCGGGCTATTTGCTGATATTCTGACTTAGTTATGTTCCCCTCTTTCCACTTTCTATACTTGTCCTTTTTATCTTTCAATTTGTCAGAGAGTTCTTTATGCAGCCATGCTGGTTTCTTTTGAGAGCTGTTATTTTTCCTCTTTGTTGGTATTGTGCTAGACTGTGCTTTTATTATCTCATTTTTCAAAATTTCCCAAGCTTCTTGAGTTGTTTTCCCCTTGAGGATTCTCATCCATGGAATCCTTCCCAAGCCCTCTCTAAGTTTATTGAAATTAGCTCTCTTGAAGTCCAAGACTCTAGTTTGACTGTGTTCTATTGCTTGTGCTTCCATAATGATGAATTCTAATATTGCATGATCACTTCCTCCCAGGGTTCCTATGGCTTCAACACCGTCTATCATTTCATCTCTGTTAGTGAGAATTAGATCCAAAATGGCTAATCCCCTAGTTCCCTTCTCTACTTTTTGGGAGACAAAGTTGTCTGCTAGGTTTGCCAGGAACCTGCTTGATCTTCCACTTGGTGCGGAGTTTGTCTCCCAGTTGATGTCAGGATAGTTAAAGTCCCCCATTACTATTGTGATGTGCTTTCTACATAGCTTAGTTAGCTGACTAGCAAAAAGTTCCTCTATTTCCTCTGTTTGGTTGGGCCCCAGGGAAACAGGATATGACTTTTGGGACATAATAGGATTAAACCACAGATACCAAGGCCTAAAAAAGCACACTCAGACTCAGTTCAAAGTTCATGCCACAGGAACAGGAAATTATTCCAAACAAAAGGCCTTCAGAGGATATAAAAACCTACTCCACATGTGCTCAGCCTTTGATTTTTCTCCTCCTTCCTGCCAGAACCATCTTTCAGTTTAGCTCTTCAATAAACTGTAACCTTCTTCCCAAAGCAGTCGCCATGTTGTTTATTTATCCCCGGCTTGGATGAACCAGAATGAAGACTTTTCTTTCAACATTATGATAGTACTTCTATTTATAGCAATTATCCTCCACCATATTCAAACATCTAGTTAATAATATAATATCCCATCTAATGGTATGTTGTAACTTTGAATGGTCACCAAGTTGAGGACTACTGTAGGCATTTCTTGAGAAACAAGAGTATGTGAGTAAATCCAGTTCAGGGAACTTATGCATCCTATCTTTAAATCATGTGTTTTCAAACTACATTAAATTAAAATATGTTTCACATGTTCTTAACCTGATTTACCTCTTTCAAGTCCTGCATAATTGCTGTCAACCGTTCATTCTCTGCTTGAACGTTGGTAACCACAGTTCTACTTTGTTTCAGCTCGTTTTGCATTTCCAAAATCTTCCCAAGGTAATAAGCTTCCTTTGATGCCGACTCCTGAAGTAGTGTCTCTTCCCTGGTCTCACCATCTTCCGCTACTTTACGGTGGACTGAGAATGAGTGTCCAAAGGCCTGCAAGATTAAAATAAGAGCCCATTAAATAAATAAGTAAACATACAAGCGAACAGGTAGTCCTCAATTTATGAATTTCTGTTGTTACGCAAGGCAGTTGTTAAATGAGTTGCACCTGATTTTATAGCCTTTTTTGCCACAATTGTTAAGTGAATCGCTGTGGTTAAATGAATCATGAGGTCATTAAGTGAATGCAGCTTTCTCCATTGGCTTTGGTTGTTGGAAGCCAATGGGAAGGTCACAAATGGCGATCATGTGATCCTGGAATTCTGCAACTGTCATAAATACATGCCAGTTGCCAAGCACTCAAATTTTGATCATGTGACCATGGGGATGCTGATAGTTATAAGTGCAAGGATTAGTCATATGCCACTTTTTTCAGTGCCGTTATAATTTGGAATGGTTGTAAGTCGGACTACCTTTGCTCCGTAGAATCATGTTGACTATTTTACAGAATGCAGAATAACAGAGTTGGAAGGGACCTTGTAGGTCATCTAGTCCAACCTCCTGCTCAAGCAGGAGACCTTATACCATTTCTGACAAGTGGCTGTCCAGTCTCTTCTTGAAAGCTTCCAGTGATGAAGCACTCACAACCTTTACTCCTTAAAGTCATACTGACTATTTTAAAAGAAAGTATCGTATTTTCCGGTGTATAAGACGATTTTCTAAACCATGAAAATCTTCTCAAAAGTTGGGGATCGTCTTATACGCCCAGTCGTCTTATACACCGGAAAATACGGGTACCTAAAGAAACCAAAGAGGTTGGCCACAAACGGTTCAGTTATAAGAACTGGATTTGCAATCAAGAATTTTGCAAGTGGGGCCATTAGAGGAACAAGAAAAAGTAACATGGCATTTTGCTTAAAGGTCCAGAGGTAAAAAGCCCCACCTTAGCATATCAAAAAATAACCCCAGAAATTATTTCATTTTAAGCGCAGCAGCCCTTCGCGGCACAGAGCAACGGTTTTCACCAGAAACGGAGAAATATTTCCCAGGGCGGAATGGGACAAGGTAATCTGGCTGCCTTTACGTGCCCACTTCTTCTCGGGCGCCTTACCGCGGCTCACCCCAGGCAGGCCTTCTAGCTCCGCCTCTTTCTCCCTGGCGTTTTCCAGGGCTATTTGGCTGCAGGGGACATTTAAACGAGCATCCGGGCTGCCAATTCGCACTGCAACATGTAGGCCACCTCGGACACAGGAAGGCGAGCCAGGAGGGAAAAGGAAGAGGAAGAGGAGGAAGGCGAGGTGCTAGCCAGCAAAAGTGTGGGGAACGGAGAGCCTCACAGACGGAGCAAGCAAACTTACAAAAAGCGGAGCCCTCCCTCCCTCCCTCTCTCTCACACACATAAACACATGCGCGCGCGCTTTCTCTCCCTTCTCTCTCTCTCTCCAAAGGCACCAGAACAAAGTACGTGGGGGGAGGGGGTGCAGCCATGCAGCGAAGCCTGATCAGATTGTTATTAACTATGTCATTGTGGGGGCAGGGGTGGCAGCCCCCCCTCAACCGCTTACGAGTACATCAAAGCAAGCTCCCCCGTATCCTGCACCCCATGCTCCTCACCTCTTGGCGTGGAGATTGGCTGTCCGGATGAGAGTTTAAGTGTCCCACGCCAATATGCCAATAAAACAAGGCTTCTGTTGCCCTGGAAACACTTCCACCCCCCGCTGGGGAATCCAGGCATCCAGGCCGCCGCTGCTCTTCTGCCTGACGGGGAATCCCATGAAGGAACTGCGGGGGGGGGGGGTGAGATGCCTGGCTGTCCCTGTCATCCCTGCGGCAGGACAGGGACAGAAGTTGTGGAGTACCCACAACTTCTGGAGGCAAGTTTTTTCTTTAGCAATAGGCACTGCTGTGGTAGAATCATTAAATATAGTTCCAATTCAGCATGCAGTTTTTTTTCCCTGTCACTCTTAAGATTAAATGCAAATAAAAGGGGCAACACAAGATGATATTAAAAAAAACTATATAAAACCTGTGTCAAAGAGTCACCCATTTTTGGAAAATATTAATTTTTTTTAACTGGGAGTTTGTGGTTACCTTGTTTCCTTTTTCCTAAAAAGCATTAATTGCATTAGAAATTGAAACTATGGTGAAAAAGTATATTTCAAAATTCCAAAAAGATAATAGTTATAATACAATTGCATGGCTGGTGGTCAGTATATACCTTTTAAATTACCGTATTTTCTGGCGTATAAGGCAACTTTCTAAACCATGAAAATCTTCTCAAAAGTTGGGGGTCATCTTATACGCCCAGTTGTCTTATATGTCGGAAAATACGGTAGATAATGTATTTATAAACTGTGGGAGCTATTAAGAACAGGTTTTTAAAAACCTAAATATTAACAATAGTTTCACCAACCAAATTCCTCTAAATTTGGGCAGGTCAGCAATAACTTCCATGGCTGGCCATATCAATTGGATGTAAGAACTAACAATAAAAACAATCCAAAGGACCACAAGTTCATCATTCTGTCTTTATTGGTCTCTTGCATTCAGCTTTGTTCTTTGTTGTTAACAAGAGCAAGTTAATCTTGTATATTGCTTCTGCTTCTGGGAATTTGCAACATTTTACTGCTTTCAAAATCCACAAAGGAGAAATGAGTCTTAAACAAACTCATTGGCTTCATTAATGTGATCCACCTAGAATCTTGGAATTCAACCACCAAAATTTAAAGCACATACAGCTACTGGATTTAGATAAAATCCAATGTCAACAAGCAGATTGAATATTAATTTTAAAACAACAGACATTATTTTAAATAACTAATCTATTGTTTTTCTAGCAAGACCTCAAGCTACATGGCAACACAAAGTATGATGAGCAGCATTTTGTTTTGTAAAGGCAGAACTGAAATTAATAATGATCATAAAATTTAAATATAACTTTATGACATTATTTATTATTTAAACAAAGTTCTCTCATCAATTTTATAAAATACAATTGAAAACAAATGAAAATCAGCACCATAAAAGCTAAATAAATCCAATAAAAATAATACATTTTATTTTAATGTACAGCACATGAAGTCATAGCAAAACTAACAATTGAACAAGAAGCATAAAAGATAATTAAGATGAAACCATTATAAAATTATAAGTATCTTGATTATTTGTATATGGATAAGAATTTCAGTATGATCAAAGAGAGTTCCACAATTTGCATGGTTTAGAATGGATGATATCATTTATTCAATACCCAGATACTGCTGACTGAACAATTATAAAACACCTAAGTTTCTGATCAAAAGAAATCAGTGTTAAAAAAGATCCTATAGGCGTTACACTTTTTCAGAAGGATGAGATTCCTTTCTTTTCTATAATAATAATAATAATAATAGTAATAATAATAATAGTAATAATAATAATAGTAATAATAATAGAGTTGGAAGGGACGTTGGAGGTCTTCTAGTCTAGTCTCTGTTCGTTCCAAAGCTGTGAATTTAATAGAAATCACCAGACAATCAGTGGAGAGTCAAAATGTATTTATTCACCCAAAGTTGCTTTGAATTGGAGGCTGCTCCAGAGAATGGTTTTCTCCATCCTTTTATATGTCTTTTAATAATTCAGCCAATCAGAATGCATCACTTATCTCAATACTTTTTGTTCTACCAGCATGAACATCTGGTCTGCATATCCTGTTCCTCCTAGCATGACATTGTTATTTTGTATCCTGTTTAAATGTTCTTTTATATCAAAATTACACCAAACTTCCTTATCTATGGTTAGCGGAATCTCTTTTCTATAGCAAAAAGGAAGAAACGTGGTTTCCTTTGCTACATGATATGCACATTTGTCTATTTGGGAGCCAGTTACTGATAGGATCCGACATTATTATATTAAGATACAGATCTTCCTTTCCTTGTTGTAAGCATAATCCAATAATAGAAGGCCAAAAACATCCTCAGCTAGTAGACAGACTAGAATAAAAAATATCAGAACATCACAGTTGGAAGGGACCTTTCAGAGGTCCTGGAGCATGGGGAACTGTCAGAGGACTGGAAAAAAGCTGATGTTGTTTCAACCTTCAAAAATGAGAAAAATGGATCCAAGAAACTGCAGATCAATTAGCTTGGGAAAGACCTGGAAAAGATAATCAAGCAGCAGATCTGTGAGCACCTAGCAATGAACTAGAAGCCTACATGGTGTTGTTAAAAGTAAGTCATGCCAAACAAATTTTGTTATCTTCTTTGATAAAGTGACTAAATTAGTGTATCAAGGAAATTCTGTGAATATAATATATTTACACTTCAGTAAGGCATTTGATAAAGTAAACTGTAGCCTATTTCTTGGTAAGAGAGTAACATGGGTAGACAGTACCACCACCAGATGGATTTTCAGTTGGCTGACCAACTGCACTCAGCATGTGATACTTAATGGAACAACGCGGAGAGAAGCATGCATCTGGGTACCTCAAGGTTCTGTCTTGGGCCCAGTGCTCTTCAGTATCTTCCTAAATGACTTAGATGAGGGGATAGAAGGGGCGCTCATCAAATTTGCAGATGGCACAAAGTTGGGGGGAGTTGCTAACATTTTGGAAGACAGACTCAAGAGTCAGAAGGATCTTGACAGACTTGAGTATTGGGCCCTGTAAGGCAGGGTCCCCAACCCCCGATGCATGGACCAGTATGGGGCCACAGCATGTCAGCAACCAGTCACACAAACAAGCAAAGCCCCATACATGGGATGCAAGCAGCACACAAAACCACGCACCCTCTGATCCATGGAAAAACTTCTCTCCACGGAACCGGTCCCTGGTGCCCAAAAGGTTGGGGACTTCTGCTGTAAGGGATAATATAATAGATCAGAAATCAGTTAATGAATACAGAACAGATATCCTTCCAAGGTGGGTGATGTGAAAGAACAAACTCATTTATTTTAGAGACATATAGGCCAGTGCAGCAAAACATTAGCAGTATCCTATGAAGAAATTTAATCCTAATGGCCTAGCTGAAACTTAAGCAGTATGCTTAATAGTTGCAAAATGGAGTTACTTGAGCCTTTAGAAGTAAGAATTTGACATATGTGAGATTGTTGCTTTGATATCAGACATGTAGCTAATTCTTAGGAAGCCAGCAGAGGAAATACAAAAAATAAAGATAGAGCTTATGCTAGCAAAAAGTAGGTCATGATTAAGCACAATAGGTATAGCAGGTGCAAGGGTCTTCCTGGGAGGGAGAAAGGAAATGTATTCAGTTTAGGCACTTCAGATTAGCTGACCGAGATGAGCAGGTGGGCTGTTGAGTGCAATAGGGGGGGGGAGGAATATGCTTTGGAAAAGGGTATAAATGTATGCTTTTAAAAAGTGTGTGTGTGGCTTATTCTCCTGCATCATTAAGTCCACCAGCCTTTGCAAACACTTTGTTTTTATTCCTGGAATCCCAAGTGAGTTTGTTTGTCTTTGGAATCCTGAGCCACCTTCTAGACAGGCCTTATCAAACAAGTTGCAGTTCAGGCAGGAAACACCAAATGCACAGATACAGAATAGGCAAGTACCTGGCTCAACAGTAGTAAGTCTAAGAGGAATCTAGGTGTCCTGGTGGACCATCACTGAAGTATGAGCCAACAGTATGCAGGCAGCTGCCAAAGAAGTCAATGCAGTCCTAGGCTGCATCAACAGAGGGATAGATCAAAACAATTATTATTAAAAAATTTAAAACCATTACAAAACTAGAATGTACTGAAGGGGCTTTATTGTACTTATGATTTTATTATGCTTATGGTTTTATTATGTTTATGATTTTATTATATTTAAGTTTGACATTAGTTGTATTAGTTTGTAGCCTTTTTATATAAATTTGCTTATATGCAAGCAACCTTACAAGTGCCTCATATCAGGAAATTACTTACATAAAAGCAAGTGTTTCATGTATATTGAAAAAGCAATGTCTCATGCCAAATATACAGGAGATTGCTTACATGGAAAAAGCAAGGTAAGGTCCAGTGGTCCAAGAAATAAGGAGGAGGGGGAGGGAAATGAGTTACGGTTGGAACCTGGATTGATATATGAGTCATCATCTTGGAATTTGTTTTTCTGTGCTTCCTTGCTCCTGGTACAGAGACCTGGATCTCTTTGTTCTCAAAGAGTATAAATAGTAGAAGAAAACTCTTCTGGGTGTGCCTTCGTCCCGCTAAGCAGTCACGAAGAGGGAGAAGGTTACCCAACTCTATCTTGGCCAAAATAAAGTTGTTTTCTTTGCTGGAACCTCGGCTCAGGAGTTTCTTTTGGCTCTTTGAAATTTCTGAGTAGCACAGAGAAGTTTGTGAGATCAAGGGGAAAACCTTACAGTACAAAGCACAAACAGAAAGAGGAATGTAGTAATCATGTATCACCCTCTGTAGGGGAGCCTCTTTAAAATGATACCATAAAACCTCCATTCCTGGTGGCAAAACCAGGTCTTCCGAAAACCATACGTTTGATACTTATATTGTCAAAATTTAAAATCAGACATTGTTATACCATGAATCTTTGCCTGTTACTATTTCCCACATTGCAAGTTTTGATAACTTGTTCAATATTTTATACAGTATTTTATACACAAACAGTACTTATCACTTCTTAGGTGCTTAAGCCAACGCAAAGGTAATTTCTCGCTTACAAAACAAGCCAGATATGAAAATATAGTGACCACTGGAATCGTGTAAAGTTTATATGGATTTAAAATTTAGTAACTCTTACATTTATATCCAGATGCATAAGAAACTTGATGTCCAAGCCACAAATATTTAAATATCTGTGATTTACCTTTAATTGCATCTATTTCTTGCAGCATTACTATTGCTGGTGACATTGATTTCAGAATGTTTGCAATTCTTTTATGTTTAATTACATCTCCTAAACTTTGCATTAAAAGAGATTACCTTCATCATAGTATTTTGTACTTAAGTTCTAACATTTTAATTTTGAACTTTGGTTTTTATCATGTTCATCAAATTTGAATTGTATATCATTTTTACTTTAAAGCAATGTTTCTCAACCATATCCACTATAAGATGTGAGAATTTTGACTCCCAAAATTCCCCTGCCAGCATGGGGTCCATGTTAAATTTGCCAAAGTTGAGAAATTCTGCTTTAAAGTGTTGAAAAGAAAAAATCTTCAGATCCAGTCCAAGCCGAGAGTAAACAAAACGGAGGCTAAGACACTTAAAATAAAAATGGAGGCTGCTTAGGAAAGAAGGTTGTTGTTTATTTAGTTGCCAGAAACTTCAATGACACAGCATGTTTCTGGGGTGGCTTCCTAAATGGAGCTGGGATTGGGTGGGTTTTTATACCTTCTTTGGGCTTTGTATCTGAGGTTCCTGTGCCATGTACTTTGACCTGAGCTTGAGTGCGCCCTTTTGATATTCTAATGGTGGTGAGTTAATACTATTATGTCCTAAAGGTCATGTTCCTGTCCTGGAGTCTTTGTTTTTCTAATCCCATCAGCTCAAACCTTCTCTGGGGCTGAAGGCATTTTGCTTATGAACAGGTGGCCCCAAATCTGCATTTCTAAAAGCTGGCCTGCTGGGGGGGGAGGACACTGGGAGCTGGTTTCTACCTCCCCTAAGATTTTTTTCTCCACGATTCCCTTGGGAAAATATAATATTCTGTCTTTTTTAATATCCTCCCAAATATTTCCTTCTCTGGGGGGGTTTACTGACTTCCAAAAGTGTAAATTCATACTGCTGTTGGCTCCAATTTCCTCTCCCCAACTTCAGAAATCTACCTTTGAAGGTCCAGTAGATGAGGCATAAAAGTTGAAGTTTTTCCAAGAGCACAATACAGAGTGTCAGGTCAGCAATCAGAGGTGGACACCCAGAGCTCTCTCCAACAAACCCCTTATATAGGAAAACCTTGCCTTTGTTCTCTGAAGGTAGGCAAAAAAAGCCCGCCTTTTAGGACTTTTAGAAAGTTGACCAGTTCTTCAAAAGGGGGCACTCTAGGGCCAGGTAACCTCTAGGGCAGGAATGTGCAATTATGACTCCTTTACAACCTGTGGACTTCAACTCCCAAAATTCCTGGATGTTGAAGACCATAAGGGACCACAGTTGGCCAACCTTCTCTAGGGTCAGCTACCCTGCTGAGCTGTAGTTTACTGCTAATTTCCTTCTCAATTAGCATTAAAGATAGAAATGGCAATCTCATGGAAGAAAGGAAATTTTGTTTACTAATAGATGAAAATCTGGCTTCCTGAAACAAATGTTTACCTGAATATGTTGGCACCTTTGGACAATTTCAATCCATTGATCAAGTTTGTTAACTTTTGTTTTAGAGTAATTTCTCACCTTTTGCCCTTGAAATGACTGTGAGATTGGGACCTGCCTGAGAAACAAGGGAAATTGAATGGTAGGGAAGGTTTGATATTCTTTCCATTATACTTTTAAACTATGAGAGACAAATCCATAATTAATATACGTTTACTTTTCCATAGTTCTAACCTGGCATACTTAATCTACTTGCTCTACCTGGAGTATTAGATATGTTCACCACCTTGTTTATAAAATAAGAAAAATAGGACATAAATAAATAATCCATGGCCATTGTTTATCATGGGTTTAATATACTGTATATACTGTAAATGCAACCATTGTGATTTGAAAGAGATTAATATATTTAATGGACCAGCTAAAGGTGAATAATTGTTTATTATTATATTGTTATTTAATTTAATTCATACATCTGTAAAAAAAAATCACATAACATAAATCATGGTTTGCTTAACCACAGTTTATTGAACATACTTTATTTTGATGAGTTCAGATCAGCTAAGCCGTAAATGAGCAGAACATATAACACCCATTTCTGGGGGATGAGTTTATCCAAAAACCAAGATTAAACAAAATGCTCATCAAACACCTTGCATAGTCTAATCATTGCCTGCACTTTCAGAACCAGCTCAATCACTCAATCACATCTTCTCAGCCCAGAGATACCATCTGGGACAATGCCCTACCATTATGTTCTGGTTCTGTCCTAATACCAACTACAGTAGGGGTCCCGAGTCCCTGGTCCATGGACCAGCACCGATCCGCAGCATGCCAGCAACTGGGCCACGCAAACAAGCAAAACCCCATCTGCAGGATGCTGGCAGCATATAAAACCACATCCCCTCTGGTCCATGGAAAAACCTTTCTCCTTGGAACTGGTCCCTGATGCCCAAAAGGTTGGGGGCTGCTGAACTACAGGATGTCCTTTCTCCTTAAGTCAGTACAATTCACACCTGAAAGAGCATTAAAAGGTCACATGATTTCCATCTCTAATGTAAAGAATTGCCCAGAAGTCATTGCCCTGCAAAAAATTAGCTAGGGGTAATTAATGTGTCATTGAGGATTAAAAATTCACTTGTCAATCCACATAAATTGCATCATTGAAAGGTGAAAATGGCTGATTCCAAAGAGCCTGGAAGTAAGCAATTAAAACTTCTCTGGCACAAACAGTGATTGGCCATCACAAAATCTGCATATGCTAGATGAGTCATTATGTCTTGTGAATAGAGACTGTAAACAAGAAACATGTGAGATGGATTTAGCTATTTGCAGACCTGTTGCTGTATTGGAGGATCTTGTGAGATGATTTTAGGACTTTCCCTAACCCGGGAGAGTCATATAAACTAAAGAAATGCTGGTTCCTTCTGTTGGTAAGTTGAAGAAATAAGTTCAAGTTCCATTCCAGGGGGAAAACCCCTCAGGGATCCTTCCCTGGGCATGTTGTCAGTTGGTCATCTTTTCACTGGAAGACAGCAGTCAATCTCTGTGCTTCTTTTCATGAATTGGGATCAGTTATTTATTTCATTTATATTCAACCTTTATTTTTTATATATACATAACCAAGGCAGTGAGCTCCTGCCTCCTCCTATTTTTCTCACAACAACAACCCTGTGAGGTGAGAGAGAGTGGCTGGCCCAAGGTTACCTAGCTGGCTTTCATGCCTAAGGTGGGACCTGAACTCATGGTTTTTTGCTTTCTAGCCTGGTGACTTAACCACTAAACCAGACTCTGGACTTTAACCATTCAAGTTATTCTTTCAGGTAGACTATCTTTCTTAGATTTTTCAGGACTTCCTGGTTCTGATCTGACTATGTGTCAATAGCCTGTTCTGAAACTGCTGCTAATTCAGATGACTCAATTTATTTTCAATAAACCCTTCTGACCAATGTGGCAATTTCTTTCTATTTTTCTTTGTAGATTTCTGACATATCAAGTATTTACTTGTAAAACTAGGCTGATTTGCATTAATATCAAAATACTATAATTTATGACTTCTGGTTTGCCATCGTGGCTGCCGCGGATGCTGGAAGACGAGCTCCGTCTTCTGCGTTAGGTTTCGCTCTGCTGGGGGACTCTGGAAAGGGTCGAGAGTCGCCCTGTATGGGCAACAAGCAAGGAGAGGATCCCCGCTTGATTGTACGATGACAGTAGCACTTCTGCTCGATCCGAGCAGCCCTCCAAACTGGCGGACCAAAGACCGACCATAGAAATATGGCTCGTCACTAGGCTGCAGACAGCCGAAGTCAAATTTACCTCAGGCACTTCTAAAGCAGCGTAGATGAGACTGGGTGAATCTCTTTTCAATCCCAAGTATTTTCTTTTCCTGTAAAAGCTGCCCAAAGCATTTTCCCCCTGTGAGAGGGAAGTGAACTTCTATCCCACCCTCTAAGAATAGCGGCAACTGACTATCCAGGGGAGTTAAAACACTGAAAGAATAACCTTAATCTAACTGGATTTATATGCTAAAATTTGGGAACCAAAAGATTCTTATCTTTACAAAAGACTTTGTTTTTTATTTACAAAAAAGAAATAAAATTGGAAAAAGGATTATAAAAATACATGAAACCATTCTTTCAGCTTGTGATGAAATAAGATGCTACAGAAAAGAACAAGATGTCAGCCTAATATACGAACCCAAACTTTGACCACAATCAAAGAATCAACTATGCAAAAGATAAAGAAGAAATGGAACAATTAAATACTATGATAGAGGATTCAACTGACCAACAAATACAATCAATGGAAAATCCAGAAAAGGGATTGACAACACTGAAAATGGAAAAGACTTTCTATATAAATCAGAAGAAATTTGAGGAGCAAGAAGAACAGATCGAAGAGAAAACAAACGTATTAGGACAACTATGGGGATTTGGAATAACAGAGAGACGATTCATTAGCCCTTCCAAAAAAATGGTGACTGGATGGTCTCTCTTATTTCAAATAATATATATAACAACAGAGGGAGATCTATTTGATGACTTAAAAGCACTGACATGGAAGGCGAGCTGGCAAAAGAAGAAAGCTAGAATAAGGCTGAAGAAAATTGGGGTTGATTTATTAGAGAGAATTTTATATTACTAATTAAAATAGAATATATTCAAATAGACAAGATGTGTATTTTGAATACTAGATTTTATTATGAATTGAGATAAAGAAAACTTTGGTCACTTAAAACTTGGAAGTATAAATATTAAAAGTTAAATTTGAATATTGATGAGGAATTAAAAATTGAGAAAAACTAATAACAGGACATTGATTGTCTATAAACATTGAATGTAAAAGCAACTAGGATATGTATAAGCTAAATTTTATTGATAAATGTAATAATGCTATTTTTACTCAATTGATATAATAAGAACTGTGTTAGTTCAAATATGAGACAGTAAATATTAAGGAAAAAAGAGAGGAAATATTTGATGTGGTACCTTGAGATTTGTATGCTATTGAATTATTGATTAACTCAGTCACCACATTGTTTTTTAAATACTTAAATGTAAAATTAGAAAATAAAATACTACAAAAAATACTATAATTGATTTTTCTGTTTTTAAGTCCAAAATTTTGTAAGTTTTGTATTCCTATTCGATAGCCCAGTATTATCCCATAGTGTCCAACTTTCTGATTTTATAATTCATAATTGGGTTCTATAATTTCATTCATTTTTTGTGTGTTATGGGAGAGAAAGAGAGAGAGAGAGAGAGAGAGAGAGAAAGAGAAAGAGACAGAGACAAAGAGAGGCAGGCATAAGCTTTGTTTCAAAATGCTCTTAGGTAGGACAAATTAAGTTTGTTCTTTTTTATTTTGGTTTTAAATAACAATCACATATTTATTCTCTCAGTTTATTGCAAGGAGAAACATTTAATCAGACTGAATCCTTTGTTTTTTTAACTACAAATTCATATCTCTGTAATTTTCTATGCTATTTTGCAACTTTATTACCTGTGCATTCTACCACTCTGCTTGCTTGAGACTATGTAAATTCTGGCAAATTAGCTTTATTATGCTTTCCCATCAACATTACTTGTAGAATTTTGTAGCTATGCTAAGTTGTTTTTAATTTTACAACCATGTTGCAAACATTAATTTAGACTTACAGTATATAATTTGCATCTGACTGAGGTTCATACTATGATTCTTAAAATATGTATGTGTCCATTCATTTTCACTAAACATATATTTCTATTTAATACTGTTATTTTCTACATATATCTATTAACATTCCATTTCCTGAATTATCTTTTCTATAATAAGATTCATCAAGACTTATAAACACATCTTTGCTGCTTATCCATTGACAATCCATGGCTATCCAACAAAAATCAATTTATTTTTTGACTTCAGGGGAAGAAATGATAAACTGAAGACCTGGCAGAATAACGAGTTGGCATGAAGACAGGCTCTTTGTGATCCCTCTCTGTCAAGGGAAGGATTTAGGATTGCCCACAAGTACTCCAGACAGTTGCTCCTTGTGAGGAGACCGCAAGACAGCAAAGGAAAGAATTTAAAGTTGGTTTATTTGATCAAGGTTAAAGTAAATATGTTATATCCACAATTCATTAAGTGAATCCAGTTTCCCCAATGGACATTTTTTTTTGCCCAAAACCCATAAAAAAGGTCGCAAATCATGATCACATAACTTCAAGATGCTACAACTGCAGCCAACTGCCAAGCACTCAGTTGCAATCATGTGACTGTTGGGATTAAGCAAACAGTCATAAGGGATGGTTCTAAGTACAAGAACAAATTGTATGTCACTTTTTCTGAGGCCGTCTTAATTTGGAATAGTCATTTAAAAAACAGTTGTAAATCAAGACTACCTATATCTCTTCGCTGTAAGTCTTAGCTCTGTAAAGTCTGCATTTTCTCTTAATGTCCTTTCTATTATGGTAATGTTGATCAGCATTCTGATGATTAAGATTCATATATTGAAATGACTAAAATAAATTGCAGTTTCTAAGTAAGAGCAAGTATGATATGGAAACAACAATGGTTCTGAGAATAAGGCTTGCTCAAAATATGTATTGCAAAAGGATATGGGCACAATTTCAGTAACTTCTGTATTTTACTTACTTTTGTACAAATAGCTGTATTTCCTGCTTGTGTAACCAAGTAAAGTATAAAAGCTTGTTGAAAAAAATCATTCTGGGTTCTTCCCAGCCTTGTGGGAGAACCCACCTTTATCCAGATCTGAGAAGACATATGACCCTGAGAGAATTGGATTTGACTTCTTTGTTCATGTTGGGCCAAACCTAGTATTTCTGCTCAACAAATTTGGTGAGCCAGCAGCAAGGAGTCAGGTGCCCGGTTCTGCAGAACCCCAGAAAGGGGATTGCACCAAGTGTGTTCCAAGAATTCTCAGGGGTACCTGCCTTCCATTGGTGGGATTCAGCCGGTTTGCACCACTTTGGCAGAACCGGTAGCTATTTTTTTGTTACTGAGGCCCAGAATGGACTTCCGGAAGCGGCATCCACAGAGAACCTGTTGTTCACATATTTGAATCCCACCACTGCTGCCTTTCTGATTTTTTGTAAGACTTCAAAGGTGAATAAGAGTTGCTTCTCTTCCTACTTTCAGAGACCATGTTCTTCTGCAATATATTCATTCTCTGACTAACAATGTCTCTTCTATTTCTGAAGCTGTTCAGACAGGTTTAGACCATCCATGTTCTGCCCTGGAGACTGGGTACTAGTGAAATTCTGGACTACTGATGATCTGCCTACCGACGATCTGCTTTCTGAGACGTGGAAGGCCCCCTATCTCATTCTTCTTACCACATCCACTACGGTCACATTTGCCAGCATCCGGACTTGCATCCATCACACCTGCCCAAAGACCTCTTTTCCACCTGCTGATAGGGATAATGATGATTGGACTGTAGCCCCTCGTGCTGAATATGACCTTGGGATGAAGCTTTTATTCAAACAGCTGCATTCTTGTACTGCATGTCCAAATGCCACCATATTTTATCAGATTGTTCCTGCTCAATTGCCTCGTCAATTTTTTACTCCTTTTGTTCTGTCCTTCTAATCATTTCCATTTTTCACTGGGGGGGGGAAGACTATGAGAGCTGTGAGATAACCAATGTACAGGTGATTAAAATTACCCATTTGAATGGTAAAATGTTTGCTAGATTGGTTGCCTGGGTGGAGATGGTTTAATGAAATATTCTTGGTTTTACTCTTCATTGTTTTCCTGGTTCTCTTTTTGTGTTGCTGTCTATGTTTTACATTGTTGTGCATGCAAGCTTGCCCTCAGAAGCATATCCATCCCATAGCTACACTTCCTAAGCGGTACTTCTCTGCAATGCTCAAAGGGGGGATTATGTTGATCAGGATTCTGATGATTAAGATTTGTATACCGAAATGAAATGAAATAAAATATATTGCACATGTCCCAACTAAGGGGAAGAACGATGGGGAAACAACAACAGTTTTGAGAGAAAGGCTTGCTCAAAATATGTATTGCAGTAGGATATGGGCACAGTTTCAGTAACTTCTGTACTTTACTTTTGTACAAACAGCTGTATTTCCTGCTTGTGTAACCATGTAAGGTATAAACGCTTGTTGAAAAAAATCATTCAGGACTCTTCCCAGCCTTATGGGCAAATCTACCCTTGTCCAGATCTGAATAAACATGTAACTCAAAAAGAATTGGACTTTGCCTCTTTCTTCTATCTATCTATCTATCTATCTATCTATCTATCTATCTATCTATCTATCTATCTATCTATCTATCTATCTATCTGTATCTATATATCAAGATCTACATATACTTGCTTCCAATTCCATTAGGAGTTCTTCTAATCTTATGGGAGGACACACCTTTGTTCAGCTGAATAAAGTGTCCATTTATCAATAGAGATCTGGACCCCTTCTCTTTGTTTGCCCCAAGTCACACAGTGGTGGGATTCAGCCCATTCCCACCACTTCGGCAGAACCGGTAGCTACTTTTTTGTTGCCCGGGCCCAGAATGGACTTCCGGAAGCAGCATCCACACAGAGCAACGATTGTTCACATATCTGAATCCCACCACTGAAGCCACACCTGATCCCTCTTCCACAGTACCACTGGAAATAGTACTGCAGATAATTACTATGGAAAATACCAAATAGTGTGGTTTTTTGTTATTCCAACCTTAGCCCTTTTATAACAAAAAAGATAGTGATGCAAAGTGAGGATCAGATGATTCTGCCTCTGCAGCATGAAAGAAACAATTTGTGCATGGGGATGATGTATCTAATAATATAAACTGTGAAGGAACACTGATGGGAAATAATTTATCATAATGATGTATTATAGATGGAGTCTTTATTGCTAATGGAATATTGATTCTACTAATGTGTTTCCGTACTGTCATTTGAGAGTAGAATATCCCTGTTTATTAAGCAGTATTTCAGTTTATACAAGGTAATGCTTAATGTAACTGGACACTGTAATTCAGCAGGAGAATTTATTCTGGATTTTATTCTCAGAATGACTTATTAATGATGTGAAAAGCTTACACAGAGAGTACAAACCAAGTATCCGGTACTTAGAGATGGATCATCATAATGGGTCTGATCTCCATGTTATATTCGATGATGCCAGCGTACCTCTAGTTACCAGAAAGTTATCTGTTCGTGATAAACAGCTGATTACAATGTTCCTTTCCCCATAACATCAGATTGCTCAGAGATATCAAGTCAAAGGCCTTATATATAAATTAGACCCTGAAGACATGGGACAAGCCATGAAAACCTGAGCTAAATTTAATTTGGTCCACAAAGAAGGAATAAATCATCTGGGTGAATTAGTCCAGCAGGGAGATCAAACACTTGTTTTGGAAAATTTTTCTATTATTTAAATACCAAATGTTGCAAATAAGATATCACATTTGATCACCAGAAGATCAGGTCAAGGTTTCCCAGAAAATTATTCCCATAAGCTTTTCCTAGCAGGTTTGATTGGAGCCAATTAAACTGGCCCACTCTTTCTTTCTGGCTCAATTGCATCTATGCTCATCAGCATCTTGATTTTTTTAAAAATGGTTGTTTTGCTTTGAAAAAGAATTAAGATATAATGTTTCATTGCCTTCAAAGAGGACAGTAGCTATTTATGAGAGGACAAAAATAGAAAGGATACACTCAGATATCATAAGGGGCACTGCAAATAAAAAGAATAATTCAATAACTATATAGCTCTGGGGTCCCCAACTTGTGGCCTCCTGGCCACCAGGCCGCGGGACAGGCTGGCCAGTATGCGCATGTGTGTGTGCACACCCCCTTATTTGTGCTAGCGCCGCAGGCTGCCACCGCTGTGCCTCAGGGTGCGAAAATGGGCTGCCGCCGCACTGCAGAACACAGAAACGGGGTACTGCCGCACTGTGCAGTACAAAAACAGGCTGCTGCCATGCTGCAAGGTGCAAAAATGGATGCCGCCATGCTGCAGGGAACAAAAACAGGGCGTTGCCACTCTGCAAGGTGCAAAAACGGATGCTGCCACACTGTGGGATGCAAAAACAGGCCACCACCATGCTGCAAGCTGCAAAAATAGGCTGCCGCCATGCTGCAAGGAGCAAAAATGGATACCGTCATGCTATGGGGCACAAATATGGGCGCTGCTGCACCACAAGGCACAAAAATGGCTGCCAACGTGCTGCAGGGCACAGAAACAAGGTGCTGTGCCACGCAAGAACGGGGCAGTGTTAGTGAGTATCATGCAGGCACTAGCCCTGCCCTGTTTGCGGCCTGCACGTGTTCATGACCCCATGTGCAAGCATTCGCATGCACACGTGTAAAATGCTTCCCTCTCCCTTTTCCTCTTGTCTGACCTCTGATATAGCTAACATCTCCAGCCCCTTGTGAAAAGATAAATTGATAGAGCATTCTATTCTATATTACTCTGGAATTCTGGAATGATAATTGTTAAGAATAGACATGAGGATATACATTTACTATATAAGACTAAATGAGAGTTTAAGATGTGGGGGGAAAATGCACGCGCAGCAAACTGCCGTGCTTTTCCCCACACACACAAACTTCATAACCTTTTGATACCCTTTGTCCCAGTGAAGCAGCCAGAAGGTCATACCCTTTTGACTTAATGCCTCACCTACCTAAACAGATAATATGCTTAGTTCCTTCCTATCTTTTCCTGTCTTTGTTACTTCTTTCTCCTTTCATCTCCCTGTATTTGTTCTTTACCTGGTCTTTGACCATGTAATGTGTTACTAGGAAATAGTTGCTTATATGACGGAATTTTCTAATGAAGAAACTTTATGTCAGCATCTAATGGTTAAGCTGTGTATGTAACAAGAATATAAAAAGCAATAAACTCACAGAGTTTGTCAAGCTATGTCCTGCAGCTTCAAACCTCTGCTCAAGACATGCCTGTGTCTTTTTCTTAGCTGTTTTCCACTATGGTAGATATGTAGAATAAGGTATCTGGTACATCATCTATTAATAGCTTTGAACTTCCATCAGGACATCACCGAATTTAAGAGGAGCTGAATTACAGGAAAGAGGGGGAATTTGTCACATTTGTGTCAAGACTGCTAACATTGGATGTTCTTACTTGACATAAATGAAGAGGCAAACCTGTTTTATTTAACCTGTATATATCACTTCTAGAGTTAAAGTCAAACAATGTTAGAATAGCGGGTGGGAAAGTATGTAATCAGGTAATAGTTAGCCACAACATATTTCAGTACAGTATTTCCAAGATCAGATGTAACTAGAGGAGTTACGGGAGGGAAAGTTCACACTTCAAATTAATTGGAGAATGTGATTGATGACTATTAAATGAAGGAGTGAGTTATGCTTTGTTACGGGTGATTGGGGGAAGGAGTATTCAGTTTTTGGCTTCATTATGTACGTGCCGAAGCTATGTAGCAATAAAAGGATTCTTTAAGGTAAACAAAGCCTCAAAGTTCTTTGAAAAGCTGCTTCTTTCGAAACCATGACAATTTGCTTGAATGTTTCAATGCTGCTAAATGCTTCTTGGATTTACAAATGCTCTTAACATTCTTCAGGGCTAGTAATCGTTTCATTAAACTGTTTAAAAATGAAAGAGGACTAATATTTACCTATTTACATTATATTGCATTCATAAAACATGGAATAAATATTTGATGAGCTTAGAAAGGGTTCTACAATGATTCAAAGTCAAAATAGAACTACCAAAGAATTAATATCAGCATGCAAGGAACAAATCGTCATTTGATAAAATTAAAGACATAGTCCTAAAACAAGTATTTATTTGTTTACTGCCATTATTTCTATTTAGAGGCCAGCCCACAGTTTGCCATCATCTTCTTCTTAGGGCTGAGAGAGAAAGACAAGATCAACCAATTGGCTTTGGGATTAAGTTGGGAATAGAGCTCGTGGTCCCTAGTCTGGTGCCTTAACCACAACACCAAACTGCAGGGACTTGTACAGCTGGTCACCATGACACAATACTGACTCAAAGGTACAAAACAAACAAACAAAACCCAATACAAAAAAATTAACAATAAGCCATATAAAATATTAGCAAAAACCTCTGAAATGTAAATAATAATATAAAGTGCCATTTAGGAAGAGAAAGCTAAATCATAAAAGTAGCTTTTCAAAGTTTTTAAAAAGCAACCAGAAAAGTTGGAGACCAGATGAGGAATAGAGAATTTCACAGTACCAATGCCACCATTGAGAAGGCCCTGGCCTGAGCCAGGCTGCTTCCAGGGTGGTGCTTAAAACTTCAGGAGAAATTTTATATTTAGGCAGCATCTAAACCAGACATGTCAAACACAAGGCCCAGGGGCTGGATGCAGCCTGCAGAGTGGTTTCATTTGGCCCGCGAAGCCATCCTGGAAACAGTGAGGGAATGGCCCCCGCTGCCTTGGCCCTGGCCCAGGCCAGCCAGGAGCCAATGTACAATTTTGTGGTGGCCATCTTGGCACTTGCCCGGGTGGACCATGCCTTGGCACTTGCCCCAGTCCCACCCCATTCTGCCAGAGACCCTCAGATCGGTTCCACTCCTAACCAGGCCCCCATAGGCACCCTTGACGTGAATGATGTAGAACTGGCCATGCCCACCTAGTAGGCCACACCCACTCCATTCACACCCACCCAGTAGGCTGCACCCACTCTGGCCACACCCCCCCACCCCCCCAGGGCAACCGCAATGCTGATGCAGCCCTCAGTGAAATTGAGTTTGACACCCCTGATCTAAACTGTAAATTAAAACCTCTTAGATAGTGGAAAGATAGTATCTTAACATTAATCTGACTCAAGTTAATCACTTCATAGAAGCTAGAACAGGGGTCCCCAACCTGAGGGCCGTGGGCCCACTACCAGGTGGCCGGCCTGTCCTGCTGGCCACCGGGCCACAGGACAGGCTGGCCAGTGCGCTCACTCATCCCCACTCATGCTAGCGCCACGGCCGCATGGCCTAAACGGGGCTCTGCACAGCCTAAATAGGGCTCCTTACAAGTGGCTTTGTACAACTTGTGGCTAACTTCTTATACATGTGACATTTAAGCTGTTCTGAGGCAGGACATAAAGAAGAAACGTATTGCTTTTAGAGAAATACTGACATGAGTCTTATAGATAGTGAAATGTGTGCATTAATTAAAAGAAGAACAAGAAAATGGAAAATGTCAAACCACAAGCTCATCTGTCAGTCACACATGA